GTGTATAAGTAATGTTTTTGTGCTGACGTTTTGAAAACATTAGTAAAGCCCAGATAACTTTGAATGAACGTTCTATGAACATTACTGGAAAAAAGTTGGTTCAAAACTTTAAGAGAACCTTCCGAGAATATTAACCACAATTCTGAGAATGTTCCTTGTTAGCTGGGTAGCATTACTGACTAATTGTCCATATGACAACATGTGATGTTTTTAATAAAGCTCTTTAGTGAACTATGTGGCATTTGAGTGCATTGTGAACAAAGCTTCAAAACAAAATCAAATAAAATCTGCACAGAAATAAAAGAGGAGACTCTCATGGATGGTTCCATGACGTCTGCTTCCTTTTCACTCTGAGCCTTTAAATAAAAGTTTTAGCCAGCATGGCTCAAGCAAAGACTCAGTTAGACTGATTCTTTCATTGTGCATGTGCTTTAGGGAAGCCACGTCCCATGTCCATGCCGGTAGACACTTGTCTGGGCGTGTCGGACTCCCCCTCCAGACCCTGGGCTCATGGACGGAAAGGTAAGCGTAACACCTGCCTGTGTGTAAACTACCGCTGAAGCGAGTTAATCTCCAGCTGTCGGCGTAAACATTTCACAAGCCCAGTTACATGGGCGGGAGCAGACAAAGGTCAGATAACGCTGTATGCATTGCATTTTTGTCTCCGTTTGTCAGTAGCTCAAGGGGTAATCTCTGTATACCAATCAGTAAACATGTGCAATGTTTTTGCAGACTATAAACAGATGTAGAGTTGTTTTCCTGTTGCTACTGAAGAATGCCTGTTATCATAGCTAGTCAAAAGCAAGTTATCGTGTTGCATCATGATTTTTTTTTGTACATTGTTGCTTTGTTCGTAGTCTGGCAGAATGAGAACATAAATCTGCATAAATTCCACATTGTAACTTATTGTCACATTGTAACTTAAACTTGTCACATTAGCAAATTAGCAAAAAGTTACTTTCAAAACAAGCAGCTTTCCGCTGGAAATCTGTCTGGAAAAATCTTCAAATTTGCTGAAAAATCATAAACATGACCAAACCTTAAATCTGTAATCAGTGGCACCATATGCAATTACATGTGTGCCAAAGTGTGAGCAAAAGGAATAAGTTTTGATTATTTTATGGACATAATTGGTGGTTTCTTCTGCTTGATTTAATTATATATATTTAATTATATTAATTATATATTTATATATACATATAAATCATGCCTATGAAAAAAAAATAATAAAGAAAAAATACTTCATTTTCCTGTGATGTGAACTGTTGGACATAGTGGACAAATTAAATTACCTAGTGCAGTATGAAAAGTTTTAAGATATTTTCTTGTCCCACAGGGTTAAAAAATGGCAATAGTAACTTTGAGCTATGAGAACAAAGCAGAATATACAACTCTCACATTATAAAAATGCCTTTGGTTCCCAACAAACTAACAAAAACAACGTGACTCAGCCAATTAGATTGACTCCTGCAATTTTGAAAAGCTTTTGCCATTTTTGTCTTTGTCCTTGAACAGTTTGAGAATGCCATCAAAGGTTTTCAATTATGGTAAACAGCTCTCATAAAAGGTGTTTCTATCCTTACATGATGTGTCTCGTCTGTCCTCAGGTGATGAGATCTTGCACAGGTATCTGAGTAACGAACAGATCCCCACCATCTCAGAAGAGTCGCCCTGTTACCCGCTGCCCTACCGCCCCACAGGAGAACGCCAGCTCATCCGAGGGGTCGACCACATCCGCGGCAGCCAGTGCTTTATCAACGCAGACCTACACACCAGCGCCACCATACCCTACCAGGAGGCCGTCGCTCGGAAGCCTGCAGCCAAATCTTCCAAGAGACCCCCCTCAGAACCCTCACTGTTCAGCAGCTGGATCGCCCGACTCAAGCTGCTCACACACTGAACATCTGTCCGTCTGCAGTATTATCACTTCAGATCCAGAACGCTCCACAGGACCTGTTGAAATTCAGTTGGATCAGTATTAAAGACATCCTCAGTGAAATGACTGTTACTTTATTTAAGGTTTCTTCAGCATTAAGGACACTACTGAAAACTCTTTCTCTGATAAATCAGGTCTTCAAAAGGATTTTCACTTGGAACTGTGTTATCAATAAGTTATTTAATTTTGTGCATATATTGTATTTTATTGATACAGGTCAAGCATATTTCCCACTTAATAAATAGCTTTTTTAAACATATGCTTAAGGTAAGTTAAAGATATGTTATCTCTGAAATGAGAAAAAGACTGTACTTACTTGCATACTTGCATACATTTTTTTTTTTTTTAATAAATGTGCACATTGACGTGTCTATAAGGCAAGAAAGGTTTTGTGAAATTCAAAATGTATGCTTCAGGGTTGGGAGACTTTCAGAATTCAAAATTGACTCCCTTTTAATAAATTTGTGTAAATTTGACAGGAAGTTGAATTTACTGAAATGCAATCTAATGAAATTTCAAAGGTCCGAGGACATTTGAGTAATTATGGCTAATAAGTAGAATATACTTTATTCCGATTAGAAAAAAGAAAAACAACTCACTTCAAATTAACTATTAAATTAACAATCAAATTTTTTTTTAATTGAGGTCAGTAAGATTTGTTTAAGAAATGAATACTTTTATTCAGTACTTTTATTCACTGTTTTTCTTTTTAACTTTTTATTCATCAAATAATAATTCTAGCTAAAAAATTATGTTTCCACAAAAATATTAATTAACCATTTTCAGCTGTGATAATAATAGTACATTTTGAGCTCCAAATTAACATACTGGAATGAGTTTTAAAGGATCATGTGATGCTGAAGACCAGAGTAATGGCTGCTGAAAATTCAGCATTAAATTAAAATTTTAAATACATAAAACAAAAAAAAAAGATATTTTAAATGGCAGTTTTTCACGAAATTACACTTTTAAAGACCCCCCAAACTTTTGAAGGATACTGTGTAAGCTATACTTTATTTTATTTTTTTTAATATTTTGATTAAACAGACTATTTATTCCATTTTAATTCTGCTTCCTTAAGTATATATTCAAATTACAATTCTGCATGGCATTTACTACCTCAATTCAAATTCAGGAAATGAAATAAAAATTACAAAATTCTAAATTCAATTCTCAATGACACAGAGCCGAGTGAGTACATTTTGCCATATCATAGTGTGAAAGATTTCACTGTGCTACAGTAGCACACACAATAATAAAGTCTGAAATCGTTTTTTCTATTTATTTACTAACTCACATTTCAGTGAGTTTCAAATTACTGACTGTCTTAAATCATATAAATGGTCTTCTGTTGTGAGTTTTACTCATGCTTGAATCATTTCAACCACTTCAGATGCAAACAAACTGTTATAAACATTTGGGTGGTCTTAAAACCACCTACTGTAACACTAGAGCAAGTCATTCGTTTTAAGCAAGATAGGATACTGCTTGATACTCGATTATGTTGTCAAACACTATTAATAAAGAATGCTAAATGGAAAAATCCTCTCATACCATGGATTCTTGTGCGGGGCAAATGCAATAGTCTATCTGGTATTTTATGGTCTTCCTCCAGAGGGCGCTCGCGGATAAGAAAGCCAATAAAAAAATCCGATTTATTGGAGAGATTTAGGGCAAGTTGTTCAAAAGTAATCTGATCGGATTTTGGCAATCGGATTGGATCAAATTTTAAAAATGGGTTGTTCAAAAGATTAGATCACAAAACGGGGGGAAGTCGTGGCCTAATGGTTAGAGAGTTGGACTCGTAACCCAAAGGTTGCGGGTTCGAGTCTCGTACCGGCAGGGATTGTAGGTGGGGGGAGTGAATGTACAGCGCTCTCTCCCACCTTCAATACCACGACTGAGGTGCCCTTGAGCAAGGCATCGAACCCCAACTGCTCCCCGGGCGCCGCAGCAGAAATGGCTGCCCACTGCTCCGGGTGTGTGTTCACGGTGTGTGTGTGTTCACTGCTGTGTGTGTGCACTTAGGATGGGTTAAATGCAGAGCACTAATTCCTAGTATGGGTCACCATACTTGGCCACATGTCACGTCACGTCACTCACTCACTCAAAATCCAAGTTTGGTTTTGATCTGGATTAAATCCTCAGTTTGTGTTGTTCAAAACGTTTTAGTAAGATTGGGATACTTTTGATCAAAAAAAAACGGGATTATTCTGATCCCAGCAGAAGGGTAGATTTCAGGAACAAAAATGTAATAAAACTTTAAAACTGGTCCAAAAAATACAATATTTGTAACGTAATATATCCCCAAATCCTCAAACAACTGTAAATATCAAACAAAAATATTATATTTTAATTTAAAATCTGAAAAAGTGTGTATCTGGATCAGGATGATCCAATCCAACTTTGCTTCGAAAAACCGGCACAAAAGTAAAATGGTTACTTGATCCTGGATAGCAAAACATGGGATTTCCAAATCCAGAACATTCTGATCCAGATTAAACTTTTTGAACAACTGGCCCTTGCATAACAAAACAACAACAACAAAAAAAAAAGGTGCAGGCTAAATCTATTCATTCCCAAGTTGTATACATAAAATATAAATTTAAATATATTAATCCAACGAATTCTACGTAAAAAATAAAACCGTTCCACATTTTTTCTTAATTCATTATTTGGTTATTTATTAGTTATCACAAACAAGCTGTTTCAATTTGAGAGAAAAAAAACAAAAAACATTTTTCAAACCATCATACCTGACCAATTAGAGGCAATAGCCAGGCTACAAAGTCCCGCCCATTTTTACCTGTGTTATGCTAATTGCTTTCTAGGGCCTTTACTTTAATTTCTACTGGTGTATCATATCATCCGAATAATTTAATTATAAAAGGAGATTATATATTCATCCAAAAGCATAGCATGTCGAAGAAAGGTTTTAAGATACATTTTATTTTTTATTTTTTTCTGCTAAATGACTAAATGTAAGATCATCTTCTGTGCAATGCAACAGTGCCGCGCAGCGGTCGGTAACTGAAGCGCAGGGGATTTTATCTGACAACACCAACACACACAAGCAGCTTTCTTTCCCAAGTCCTTCTTTCACGCAAACCATTAGATTACACTTGAATATAATGAAAGAAAAGGGTCTTATTATAATGCCATGAAGTTAAATACAAAAGGCGTGATGAAGAGCCGCGCGTGATTAAATCAATTATGCAAATGAAAGGCGTTATTAGAGGCTCCTGCGAGCGTCCACAGGCGCTTCACAAACACACTGTCTGCGATGTCTGCGAGGGGGATTTTCCGAGGAATAAAACACCTGCAGGTTTTCACATGCTGGTTACAGGTATGTAAATGAAAAATACACATAATAACATAAAGAATCCCTGTTGAAAAAAACAGCATATGCTGGTTAGGTATGTTTTGACGCTGGGATGCTGGTCCTTTGCTGGTTTGTGCTGGTCCTTTGCCAGCACATGACCAGCAAAAGGACCAGCACAAACCAGCAAAAGGACCAGCACAAACCAGCAAAAGGACCAGCACAAACCAGCAAAAGGACCTAACAAATGGTTGTCAGTCAAAGATACTTCAAACAAACAATCAAATTAATTTCTCTGTCTTTATTATTATTCATAGACTGACTTGTTTTTCTTTGTTCAGTTGGTAGAGGACATCTTTATATTGTTCTCCTATCTGAAGGCGGCAGAGGTGAATCAGATGAGCCGAACTGAGTCAGTAAGTGTTCACTTCATTCCTGTTGTTTTGACTCGTGTCAGAAACTTACTTTTGTGCGAATTATTTATCTTTATCCTTTCTTTTTTGAGGACATAATTGTTTTCTAACCATATAAACAAACCGCATTTCTGTCAAACAGTTCAAACAAATACTTCAAACTGAATCAGTCAAGTAGCTAAAAAAATCTCAGCGTCTCAATTATAAGATCAAAAGTAGCTGTAAATAACATTAAAATACATTTGAAATAGTTGTTCAGCCACTCATCATGTTCTTTTATCGACTTCCATAACATTGTATTTTAATGGAATCGTTGCTGTAAGTTTTGCAGATGTTTTCTCTACATTCAGTGTTTTCAGAACTGATATGATCACTTTTTTACTCTACTTTTTGCATCTAATCATAAACCACTTCCTATTAACTAGACATTGAGCTGCTACCAGTTCCAGATGTTGTTCACATAATACTCGATAGAATTTGTATCCATCTCTAGGAGTGTTAATTGCCTGTCTATACAAATTCTGTTTAAATTTGACAACCTTCTTTTAGAAACTTCCACAGAGCGAAAAGTAGTCAAGTAAACTAAGCAGATTTATTTATATTATATGCTTCTTTAGGGTTTGGGCTATCTCGACTTCTGTTTGGAACTGCACTATCTGAATTAAGATAAACATTTCCTCAAAAAGATCATTATAAATCAGCAAGGGTATATGATTTTAAAACTGACACTAGGTGGAATAACTTCTGAATATCAAAGGTCAGAACCATTATCAGCGGCTAATGAAACCGAAGTATAGATCATGACTGATCTTTTCTTCCAACCTGATCTCACAGGGAAATGTAAAGATTTTTTTAGGAGATGCCAATTTTGTATGAATTTGTACAGTGTGAATTGTAGATATAACAGAAACATAAAAATTAAAATAGTATGAAAATGAATAAATTAGATTCATGCGAATAAGCCACTACAGTTTTTTTTTTTTCAACTGCTTACACACATTTTCAAAACTTTGCCTCTTTTTGTCAAAACTTTACACACAAATCCAAGAACCGCAAACACAAAATGCAAAATGCCTCGCATCTCTTGCAAAATGAAGCCCTGCATTCAAAATAACATAAACAAACATTTGCAAACACATTTGCCATAATATTAATTCCCGTTAGATTTTTGTGTTACATAGAGAATTGTGTGTTGTGTTTTACAAAACGAGTTTTATGAAATTGAAAACGGAGTCAAAGGCTGAGAATTAGTGTATGGTTTTGCAGATTTGGTGTGTGGTTCAGGTTTCAGAAATTGTGTGACAAGTAAAGATTTTGTGTGCAAGCAGTTAAAAAAACTGTAATTTGCCATAATGTAAAATGGTTGCAAACTGTCATGAAATAATGTTGTTTTTTTTCGTATTATGACGTACTTTTGAGAGCAATGGATTATTAAAAAAAAAAAAAAATCTGTAGTACAGGGACTTTGTTCCATCATTCAGTTGTTCAATGGCTTTGTTGATTGAATTTGATAAAAAAATGGAGGCAGATGAACACAAGCTCGCAAAAACTGGTACTTAAAGGGATAGTTCACCCCAAAATGAAAAATGTATGTTTATCTGCTTACCCCCAGGGCATCCAAGATGTAGGTGACTTTGTTTCTTCAGTAGAACACATATGATGATTTTTAACTTTAACCGTTGCAGTCTATCAGTCGTATAATGCATGGCAATGGTAACAAAATCTATGAGAGTAAAAAAAAACATGCACAGACAAATCCAAATTAAACCCTGCGGCTCGTGACAACACATTGATGTCCTAAGACACGAAACGATCGGTTTGTGCGAGAAACCGAACAGTATTTATATCATATTTTA